GAGAAGAGGTCAAAGGCAGGGAAGCTGGGAGGAAGGTGTTGCAACCCTAGATCAGGTGAGCGAGAGGCTGGTGTGGATCCCCTTGGCCCATGGAGCCTGTCTCCTGAGGCCGCAGGGGACCAGGGCCACAGACCCTGCGGCGGGCACCCCCTGGCGTATCTGCCTTCACTGTCCAGCCCTTCCTCGGGGCTCGGGAGGTTGGGGTGGGAGTGGTGGGCCTGTGTTTGCATTTGTACAGTCTAGAAACCTTTTCAGTGTAATCTCGACGATGACAGTGTTGATGGTAGTGTCAAGGGGTAAAGGGAACACCCCTGAACCCTTGGGGTTCTTCTAGGCCGCAAAATCATCAAGAAAGCATCAGACAGGTTGATAGGAGACAGCCATTTTCAATGTGACAATCACCTGTGGTCTGTGTGAGTGGGAGACGTCCATCAGGACCGAGCAGCTCGCCCGCCTGCCCTTGGTCACCACCTTGCATGGCGCAGTGAAGGCAGGGGACGTTGAAGAAAAGGGAAGTCAGGGTTTGCCGGGGAGAATGAAGGGACTTTTTGCCTTGTCAGCAGGAGAGAATTAAGGAGATTAGGTCCCCTGGTTGCACCGTTTCTGGGTGACCCCGAGGGCCCCTCCTCATAGAGGATTTCCCTTCTCAGCTGAGGTGGCTCTAGGCGGGCTTGGAGGCTCCTCCTCCTTCTGCCACCGAGCTCTTAGCCTCTGTTTCTCTGCTTTGTGCATGGTCATGGAGATTCAGTTCTCGGGAGCTACCGCTTCAGCCCAGGAGGGTGATTTGCCCAACTGCAGTTCAGTGAGCTGTCTGGAGGACACGGTCTGGTCCGTAGCAGCCAGGGGGACTTAGCAGCTGGGAGCAGATTCTGGGGAGCAGCACTCGGAGGGGGATTTGGACAAACGCCACTGAGGAGACGCCTCTTGTCTTGAAATGATAGAGCAAGTATTTGTTTGCTCCAGAGAAACTTAAACTGAAGTTGTTAGCTGAAATGGTATCTGAAACCTTAGGATACCAAAGTGGACAGATCTTAAAAAACTGGTTCAGCTAATAAAGTCTTTGGGGTCCACCCTGGTGGCACAAAGGGCTAAGTCTAGGCACTAGGAAGCTACCGGCAGTCACTGCAACACTGAATTCTAACCCCCCCAGAGAGGTGACCCACAGGGCGCAGCAGATCTCTCCTGTCCAGACCTCTGCTCCCCTCAGCAGTGTGTTTCAGTCAATCTGCCTGTGAAGCCTCTCACCCTCTACACCTCTGGCCTGTATCCCAGTTCTTGTAAGAATAAGTAAATAAATCTTTAAAAAACTTATCTTTAAGGAGTGGTAAAGGGAGAGAAGGGGAGGGGAGGGAGAAAGGGAAGGTTCAACCATGCAGAGCAGTGATTCTGGATTCCAGATGGATCCTGGATGCCATATATATATGGCAGTGTGTGTGTGTGTGTGTGTGTGTGTGTATTTTTAAAAAAGATTTATTTATTTATTCACACAGAACTGGGGTATAAGCCAGAGGTGCTGGGTTGGTGAGAGGCTTCACCAGAGACAGAGTGGGGAGCAGAACAGGCAGGTTGATGAAGTACACTGCTGAGGGGAGCAGCGGGCGGGTGAGAGAGGTCTGCTGCTCCATGTGGTCACCTCCGGGGCAGGGGATGGAACACAGTGAAGCGGTTGCGGCCAGCTTGCAGTGCTGCTCCTAACTTGTTGCACCTCCAGGGAGGGTCTGATGCCTTATATTAATGCAGAGCTTCTAATCTCTCGGAGTCCCAGAAGCTATGACCTTCTTTAGCCTGACACCTGCTGTGTTGCGAAGCTGTGTGCACCATGGAAACAGCCTTATAGATTTTCCTTTTTCTGGCCAGTGATAAAATGTCTGCGTCTGACACTCTCGGGGTGCTCAGCCCCAATGGCAGTCCCTCCCCCCAGGTGTCTGCGTGGCCCATGTTCTCAGGCACTGTGATTCTGTGCTATCGCATGTCTACAAATGACCATCTGTGTCTCTTGCTTCTGGTAGAAGAAGAAAAGCAAGTGACCTTTTAGGTTTTTGCTTGGTTTAGTTGAAAACCATGGCTCTTGAGATAGACTGAAGATAACTGCTTGGCTGCTGGCCAGCGTGGTCCTGAGCACGTCTCAGGCAGGCTAGGCCAGCTCTAGAGTGTTAGGAGGTGAGTGAGTCTGGAAGGAGTCAATGTGCTTTTCACTGTTTCTTTCCAACTTAAGAGGCATTGAGCAGCTCGCAGTCCCTCATAGGAGAACATCTGTGTTCTTGTGATTTCTCAACTTACTCAGCTGAGCTCCTTCTTATGCAAATTCAATCAACAATGTAAAATATGCATTTAAGGTATATCAAGTTGTAGAAATAAATTATGTTATGTAAAATTTTAAATTAGTTTTTCATTAATGTTAATATACTGTAAATACCTGATGAGTTATTTAAAGTTCTTTATTATGGAGCTTTATGTACAGCATGAGCAATTGTTTGAGAAAATGTTGAATTTGAATTAAATGATCCAATCAATTACTTTTGTCCTGCAGAAGAAAGTTTTGCACTGTAGGGTACATTTTTTTTTCTTGGTGATTTTAGCCTTTGTTTTGATGATCTTTATGAAGGTAAGTTATAAAAATAGCACATATTACCTATCCGAGCTGCTAACAAGATAAATGATAGGGTTTGTGATTTTTGACTTGTGCTTTAAAAAAGAAAAAAAAGGAAATTGACATTCAAATACTGAAGTTTTTCACAGCCGCATTTGTGTAACTGACTCCACCAGCAAAACATTGACACTGTCTGTGCAATCGGAGTATGTGTGGCATAAGCCTCGCAGAAAAGGGGCAATCAGAAATGCATTTAGCTTTGCAGAATGGAAACTGAAGATAAGCCAGAAATCTGGGTACTCAGATGGAAGAGTGTCCGGGAGATTCATCTGGGGCCTCATTTCACAGTGTCACATGTATTCCATTTTGTCCAATTTCAGAGAGGGTGGTGGTTAAAGTGTTTATGTCCTTTGACCCACTTCTGAATAGCTCTTCAAAGGGAATCATTCAAAAGCAGATTTATGCACAAAGATGTTAATTGTGCCATTGTTCATAATTTGAAAAAGCCAGGAACCAACCACATATCCAAGAAAGGGGAAAGGAGTACATTGTAGAATATGCTTAATGCAAAACATTACATATACACAATAAAAGATTGTATGACCCTTAATTCTTTTTTAAATGATTAAATGTGAGGGGAAGCTTGTAACATAGTGCTAAGTGAAAAAAAAATCTATTTACACAGTCTGATCTTAATGAGATTAAAACATTTACCACAGAAGAAAATATGTTGGTTCATTTTGAGAAGTAATTGTTGCTGTTTTATATTTTCCAAGTTTTCTAGTAAAAACACATTACTTTTATAATTGCAGGAAGATTATTAAAAAAAGAAATTGTGGTGGCTAATGGGATAGTAAATATTTTGGCTTTTGTGTTTGGGCTGGAGAGCAGTGTGGGGTCATCAGGCTGGGAACCCTTGGGGGGGGCTGAAGCTGAGGGGGGTTGTAAGAGGGCTGGGACTGCCTGGGGCTGTTTCTCCCGCCCCTGATGAGACTAGGGTCCTGTGGCCCTGTGCTCAGATGGCCTCTGTGCCTGGTGCTTCCTCCACCAGTTCTCCTGAGCAGGAAGTCTGGTGGTCAGCTTTGTCTTTGACAAAGTAACTCTTGTCAAATGTTATCTCATAGACGTTATCTAATAAGCGGTAGACTGTTATTTTTAAACATGAGGTAGCAGTGGAAGATTCCTGAAGGTACTACATAGGAACTGTGAATGGGACAGCCTTGACCTCCACCTAGTGTGTGCCCCGAGGGGTGCTGGGGAGCAGTGCAGTTTCTCTAGTCTTTGGGGTCTCCTCCATGAATAAGTCACAGAATCATTTTAGTGGGGCTCCCTTTTAAAATAAAATTAAACTAGTTTACAAAATGCAGAGTCTATTGAGTATAAGTAGTGGTTCTTTAAATTTTTATTTCAGGTATGTGTATGTACTGAATTATATAAAAAACTTTAAAACTCTGATTTGCCGTTAAAAAAAAATCAGAAGACTCAGAGTGAACTAGACAGTGATCCTAGGTATGATTCTGGGAGCTACTTAGAAATGCCAGCACAGACACCTTCTCCAGACCCACTAAATCAGAAACTCTGCAGGTGGGCCACCTACCCGCGCTCAGTAAGAGCCTGCTGATTCCCACACACACTCAAACCGAAGAACCACTGGCCAGCCTGGCAGCCAGCTGGAAATGCAGATCCCCGGGCTGCACCCCAGAACTACTCCATCAGAGTCCACAAGCCCCCCCGAGAGGGTGATGTGCATTTATTTTATTCAGGGCTGGGAAGCACTGGTCTAACTCTCAGATGTTTGCAGGGGCCAGTCCAGTGAACCGGCCTCGTTTTCTCCCCCCAAAAGGAGAGCATTGTGGTATGAAGTTTAGACACTTCATTTTTAAAAAGTGTCTTTATTATACTAGTTGGGATGAACACTCAACTCATCAGTTGCTTGTCATGGACATCAGTTTGTTTGAAAGGCTTTAAACCCACATTTTACAAGAGTGACTCCCTCAACATCAACTTTTTTTTTTTTTTAAAGATTTATTTATTTATTCATACGGAACTGGGGTACAGGCCAGAGATGTGGAGGGTGAGAGGCTTCACCAGAGACAGAGTGGGGAGCAGAACAGGCAGATCGACGAAGTACACTGCTGAGGGGAGCAGCGGGCGGGTCAGGAGAGGTCTGCTGCGCCATGTGGTCACCTCCGGGGCAGGCGGGGATCGAACTCATGCGGAAGTGGCTTTAAGGTCTCAGTGCTGTGCTTTAACTCACTGTGCCACCAGGGAGGGCCCAACTTTTTTTTTTGAAAATAATAGTTTATTTTTACATCATTGTGTGCATTTTCCCACCGCAGTTGTAATCCCCGTGGGCTTCCCGTCACCAAATCACCCGTGTTCAACATCAACTTTTTCTGATCTCTTTTAGGACTTCATCAAGGAGCTGCTGTCACGGGTAAGGGGCATGAGGAAACTGAGCCCCCCACAGAAGAAGGCTGTATAATTCTGACCCAGGGGGGATTCTCCCAAGGCCAAGAAGGGACCCGGGGCTTGGACTTCATGAAGACTTTTCTTGAAGAATACTTGTCCTTATGAGCAACTTTTTATTTTGGGGGGGCTGTGGGGGGGAATCTATCACACATTTATTCGAGAGTGTTCCTTCTTCTTTTTAAGGGTTTTGTTGGTATCATATTTTAATGGTAACGGTGTTACGACTGCGGCTTCCGCGTGACCACACACACCCAAGGGTGGTCTGGCTCAGGCAGCATCTTGGAGAAATCAGGTGTTTAGGGAGGGTGGTTTTCTTACACCTAGTTTTGGTAATACTTTTTTCTTCAGTTGTACATTTGACTGAGTTGTTGAACGCCCCGTCCTTGTATATATCTACAGACAACTAAGTTAATACGTAGATGTGAGTTTTCTTTCACCCTGATGGAATGGCCTCGTGGTCGTCTTTTCATTGGAGGTCACAGCGAGTGTGCTTTCGAGAGGCCACTAGCTCTTCTTGGCATGAGCGCTGCTGACCTTCAACATTCACTTTATGCACCAAAGTGAAGCACTTGGTGTATCCGTTATTTGAATGAGCTACACTACAGACACGTTGAGTTGGTCAAGGGCTTAGTTTATGGACTTGATGTTTTTTCATTAATTGGGATGCTTTGCCAGGTCATGTACTTATTGCCTCATTTGTGGTATTTTAAAGTTTAATGAACCCTTACTTTGAAGGACTGTTTGGATTTTGAGAGAAATGCCCACGCGCTGGACTGGAGCTCTGCAGTGGAACAAGGAAGCACTGTGTAGCAACTAATTCTCTGCTTTCAACCAAATACTATGTATTGTTCTCTCTTCATGAAAGCATGTCATAAGGAAGTTAGCAAATGAAGTATCTGCCTCCTTAGAAGTAGATTCTGGTCACTTCTGTGCCTGGGCAGCATCAAACCAGAGGGGGGAAGCTGAGTGTGAAGAGATGAGGAAGACGCATTTCGTCTCGAGCGTGGACACAGGAGCCTTCGCTGGTGTGGCAGGGTGAGGATCACGTTTCTAACTTGTCTCTATAGCATACGCTAAAGCCGCTGGCTCCTGGCCCTAATTCTGCACCCTGATCCTTGCCTGGGGTGCCTGTCCTGCCCCTCTCAGTTACATCCCAGCTCCTTGGAGAGGGATCAGGATTCAGATGGGCATGTGCGGAGTCCACGGTGAGAGCAGAGGCTCTTCCTGGCCTCCGGGAGGTGGCCACTGCCTCCCCACGGAACTCCACCTCTCACCAGGTCCTAGGCGGCCCTGTCCGAGGACAGGGGTCAGGCATTTTATATCAAGGGTGCTCTGAACATATTTTATTTTTTAAAAGAACTATGTTTGTGAATTTTACGTATACTGGCAAGCTTTTGAAAATGTATTTAATTTTGTAATGTTTACCAATGGTTTATTTACGAGCTATTTACTCAAATAAATGGAGCTGCTTACACTCTGCTTGCGTGTTTGCCTCGAGAAGCATGGTATTGGGCTTGGCGGGGTTGTCTGCCTTATCTAGCTTTTCGTTCCAGGGGGCTTTCGGGTGAAAGCACAGGAGCTGAAGCACGTTCCTGGGTTGACAGGGAGGCAGAATGAGCTCCGTGCACAAAGCCCTGCCTGGCTTCTCCTAGGCCCTGAATCCCTTTTACCCAGGTGATACCAAGGTTTCAAATCAATGGATATAACAGTTGTTAAAATGCCACACTTGGGCCCCCCCCGGTGGTGCAACAGGTTAAAGCGCAGCACGATGGAGCTGGCCACAGCCACTGCAGCACGAGTTCGATCCCCACCCAGCGAGGTGACCCACATGGCGCAGCAGACCTCTCCTGACCCGCCCGCGGCTCCCCTCAGCAGTGTATTTCAGTCAATCTGCCTGTTCTGCTCCCCACTGTCTCTGGTGCATCCTCTCATCGCCTGTACCCCAGTTCTTATATGCATAAATAAATCTTCAGCAAAATGCCACACCCCCTATACATACAGAAACATACAGACCTTACAGGATTTCCATTAGGCTTGACTAGCCCAGAGTAGGACAAACTAAGAACAAACTTTCCCACCGGAGGCCTTGGATTGCACCCCCTAACATTCTCCCCACTTTTCCTTATTAAGGCCTGGCATCACCTGACCCCCCCAAAGTGCTCAAGCCATAAACTTGGGCTCCTCCTTGACTCCCTGCAGAGTAAATGGATTAAGGAGGCTTTTCAGCCCCACCAGCCTCTGTGGCTACCACCTGTGGCCTTGATCGTGCGTGCACAAGACACGTGGTTGGGGCGCACGTGCCTGATTGTGGACGCCTGCGTGTGGGTGTGTGTGCCTGTGTGTAGGAGGCTGGGATGGAAAAGCAGCAGCACCCCTCAAGTTGTGGTCTCCCTGCGTGTAACTGTTAAAGACGCCAAGGGCTTCAAAGTTCTCTTTTAAACTGTTGCAGCCCCTGGTGACCTACCAGCCTGGCATGGTTGCAAAGCACTTCCCCTGTCAGCTGCCAACTCACCCTCAGTGCCCAAGCTCTTCTCCCCGATAGGCCTCGGCTCTGTCCCTGGGGAAACCTCGTGTCCCCCTCCCTCTCTACTCAAAGCCCAGACCCGTCTGCGTTCATGGCAAGGAATGGGCCCTTCCCTCTCCCGCCATATCTTAATTCTGCCTACAGTCCATCCTACTGAATTCCTTGGGGTTTCTGCCAGCTTCTGTGTAATTTCTCCTCCGTGGTTTTGCAAAAGTGGCTGCCTCTTTCTGGAACATCCTACCGCTGTTCCTGTGGCTTTTGGAGAGCTGAATTTGATCCCCTCCTGTGTGTCCACAGCTTCCAGCCCTCAACCTGGGGTACACCTGTTTGGCTCTTCTGTGAGGCTGCAGGATCCTGGCTTTGGGGCTGGGCCCTACAAATCAAGCATGTGGTCCTGGGCTTCATTCCTCGAAGGAATCAATGTGCATTTGCTAGTTGAATAAGCAGGGTAAAATCTTCAAGAAAACTCCTTTGCCTCTTTCCCAGCTAGGATAGGGGTTCTCTGCCCTGATTGTGCATGTGAACATCCTGGGGCACTTTCACAGCTGACACTGTGGTCCGGGTCCTGCCTGGCTGAGGCAGAACCTGCAGGAGCAGCATGAGGCTTCTCCACGTTCCCGGAGTGAGCACCACTGGGCCAGGCGACTCCCGTCATCATGTTTATACTGCTGCTGCAGGTGGCAGCGATGACGGTGACACATTGACTGTTTCTCATTTTGTTTTCTCCTGGAGAAGCATGAAGGGCCAGCACCGGGGAGTGACTGAGTGTCCAGTTTCCACTGCGGTGCTCAGATGAGCACTGAGAAGCCTGAGTGTAAACTTCATGGAGCGGGGTCCATCTACAACACTCCTAACAATGGTCCCGCTCACTTACTCCCTTGCTAAACCTCTCCCTGCCTGATTTAATCCCGGCGTGACTCTTAGGAGGTAGATTGCATCACTCTCATGTTATGGATGATAACACCAATCCAGAGAGGCCAAGCTGCTTACCTGAGGTCACACAGTTCAGAGCTGGAGTCAAACCCAGTCCTGTCTGACTCAACCCCCTGGACCACGAGGCTCCCAGCCTCTTGCAGGTGGAGATGGTCCGTCCCACACACAGAGTGAAAACCAGTGATTAGCACCCCTGAGCTGCGGTGGGGACTGTAGCTGGAGTGGGGAGGGGACCCCCGGCCACCTGTGGGGTCTCCCCCTCTGCCCCGAGCACTCAGAGGATCCCGCTCTTGAGCTGAAACTCAGCCAACTGGTGCGGCTGTGCCTTTGTTTCCAAGCTCCTGTCTCCTTCCCTAAAAAAGCCCCTGGGCTGAGCGCTGAGCACAGACCTGCCTTTCATCAGTGTCCTGAGAACTTGGGAAAAGAGCAGCTGGAGCAGGGTGTGAATTCCTGTAACACACAGAGGTCTGATTTTCAACCACCTAAAACCCATGAGAGAGTGTGCGGCCCAGGGACAGAGTCCCAAAGACAGACAGCAGTGGTGACACCTGCTCCTTCCAGGATGAGATGTGGAGAAGCTGCTGTTTTCGAGCCAGGGGCATTTACCAAAGGATCCCGACATCAGGAGCCGCTGCCAAGGGCCGCCAGTTTGCCTGCCGCCTGCCGAAGTAGGAAGGGACACTTCTGGGGGCTGTCCTGCAGGTAAGTGAAGATGCTCAGGCTTTTGCACCACTGACTTCTGTGGCATCCACCTGCGGCCTTGAACGCAAGAGGCACGTGGGCGTGTGGGCTCGGGGTCTGCATGCCTGATGGTGCACACCTGGCGGATGGTGTGGGCACGTGTAAGTGGGCGCACCTGAGGCTGGAGGCTGAGTCTATAAAGACGGCATCACAGAGCGTGATGAGGATGGTGTCTCAGAGAGCGGCAGTGTAGCTGCAAGAGGAAAGACCGAGAGGTGACTCCAGAGCCAGGAGCCAGTCCTCGTGTGACTGAGCTTGGAGGAGGTAGACCAGACAGCTGAGGGGCACAGCCTCACCCTCACCGCATCTGGGCTCTGAGTC